AGTTGGCTCATAGGCGTAGAGATAAACCCAACCTAATGTTCTGGTCTTACAAAACTTTAGAGAGCAAATAAGAAGTCTATGGCACAAAGAGAGATAAGTTACCTAGTTTTCAAAACGTATTCTCCAGAGGAAAAACGTAAAGTAAGAGTTTTTATGCCGGTCTAGCGATATAGAGAGAGGAGGTAGAGAGATAGATTAGTTTAAAGAGAGAAGGAAATGGAAATTAAAAAAAATGAAGATAAACTCCAAGATTTTATACAAGTCTAGAGAGATAATTAAGTTTAGAGAGAGAAGAGGAAATCCACATTCATTTGCCTTATCCCGAAAATCAATTCCCCTTGTCTTATGCAGGACTTCAAGCTAGTTGATTTGTGCAATGTTATTTACAAAATCATTAGCAAATTTATTTCGAATAGATTAAGGGATGTGTTACATACTCTGATTGATTATACATAAGCTGCTTTTTTAAATGGAAGATTGATCACATATAACATAATGATGGCTAATGAGCTAATTTCACTATGTTATAAATACTTTGCCAATCTTATGATGTATTTGCAATTGGATCCTATGGTCGGGTTTCTTGGGATTTTGTTCTTATGAGGTCGCATGCTTTGGGTTTCTCAAACTTTTTTGTTTCTTGGATTCGCCACTTTATTACTACTCCCTCATTTTTAGTGCTCCACAATAGTTTGCTTCTTCATTGGAGGAGACTTGGTCCTGGACTTCCTATTCCCCATATTCAGCTCAGACACTGACTCATATAAATTAAACAATTATGTCACATAATCAATGATAGCCAATGCCAATTCCCATCAATAAGCATTTAAGTGTGTCATTACCCTCTCAGGCACTCATGCAATAAGCAGCCTTGATGAACAGAATACTAGACAGATCAAATCAACAAGTTTCCCATCAAAATCAAATTTGTGGGCACATGGAGGCTTATAACATATTAAAGATGACAAGTGGTGACTTGGTGAACTTAATTAAGAAAGAACCTTGTAAAAAACGACCATACTAGCCATAATATCAGCAAAACAAGGGAAGCTCTAGAAAGAGGAGATGATGTGGTTCCAATAAGGCAATGAGTCAATATATAGATTCTAATTGGCATCCAATTTTGATAAAGGATGACTCATTGAACTCAATCTCTGAGGCATCCAATGAAGTCAAATGCCAGTGGTGTTTGGAGAAGATTCTTTGATAAAATTTGAATTATGTGAAATTTCTGAAGTTGGGTTTAAGCATACTTGGAGAGAATCAAATAGGTTAGCAGACTTCCAAGCAAGTGAAGGAATTTAAAATTCTTCGACAACAATAAACGACAACAGTCCTAAAGTGTGAATGATGTCCCTTTACAGGGTTGTTTTGTCTCTCAAAATTAAATGGTGTATATCTCATACAACATTTATAGTTGTACATATTTTATACATATTAATGATCCAATTAACAATGTATATATATATATATATA